CGGGTGGCGACCAACGGCGATTGGCGAATCCGGCGGTGGCTCACGGCGGCGATGTGAGGATGATGATGACCGGAATAAAATATATATTAGAGGCTCAATATATTGTACCAAAAAGTCTTCTAATGGATTAACTAAACACCTACTTTGATTAAACATGGTGGAGCGTTTAATCGAATCTCCCTAACTCTCGAACAAAGATATTTCTCGCGCGTATGTAGTGGAGAAAATCGGCCAACACATATATGTAGGAGAGATCGGGACATTGTTTATATATAGGCTCCATTAGGGACCTTAAGGAGGTGCTAAATATGGCTTATCCCATTTAGACATAGGAATCCTAATTCTACTCCAATACTAATTTAATGTAGGAAGGAGATCTCCTACTAATATCCATCTTCTAGAAGACTCCTAAGTCTCCTAACACTAGAGGAGATCCTAGTAGGAATATCTTTCCTAATTAAATTAATAATCATGGAATAAAATTAATTCATAATTTAGGAAGCCTAATTCTACTCCAATTAATTATTTAATGTAGGAATATATTTTCTACTAATCTCCATCTTCTAGAAGACTCCTTAGTCTCCTAATCCCAAGAGAAGATTCTAGTAGGAATTTTATTCTCCTAATTAAATTAATTAATATGGAATAAAACTAATTCCTATTAAATAGAATTAAATAATAAAACATCACACTAGAGTAATATTATTGCTCTCCCATTTAGCCACTATTTACCAATAAAATTGAGCCTCCATGATTAAATAATATTAATCTGATTGATCGATTTACCTCCCTATGTTTAAGATATAACGTCCGTTGATTAATTAAATTATTGACAAAATAATTAATCAACTTCTTATTCATTTCCGAAATTAGTACCACTCAGATCCTTAACCATTATGTCAGACAATCGTCTACCTGCAGGGTTTAACATAATGTTCCTTTCTGAGCTCATTTCGGGGACGTCATCAATCCAGCGCACTGGAACATAGTGACCATAAACAATTTATAATAGCACATCATATAATTATTCTTACTTACCAAAATACCTCATATGTCATCCTAATAAAATAGGAATCACTTGGTAAATCAAATAAACAAGGAATAAAAATATATGCCTATTTTATATTATCTTACAACTTAAGAGAACGCATCAATCACTGAAGGTCTAGGTTACAACAACAGTCAGTGAATTTCATATCCTTATCCTTCTGTGGTCATGTTCAACACTTAACATAAGTGCTAGTGTAATCCTTCAGTCAAAGACCAACTGAATCAAGAATACACTATAGTCTTTTTCTAAGAGGGGTCTCACTGCCTGTCTAGACTGTGAACGAATAGTTTAGTCTTATAAGGAACCATTAGGTGATCTTTCAGTTCGAAACGGTCAGTGAATCTCATATCCTTATCCTTTTGTGGTCATGTTCAACACTTAACATAAGTGCTAGTGTAATCCTTCAGTCAAAGACCAACTGAATCAAGAATACACTACAGTCTTTTTCTAAGAGGGGTCTCACTGCCTGTCTAGACCACTAGGTTACAACAACGGTCAGTGAATCTCATATCCTTATCCTTCTGTGATCATGTTCAACACTTAACATAAGTTCTAGTGTAATCCTTCAGTCAAAGACCAACTGAATCAAGAATACACTACAGTCTTTTTCTAAGAGGGGTCTCACTGTCTGTCTAGACTGTGAACGAATAGTTTAGTCTTATAAGGAACCATTAGGTGATCTTTCAGTTCGAAACACTTCGAACCACACTATCTCAATATAAGACATGGAGTATGATTTGCATAAAAAAATAAGCTGCAAACATATGTACTTTGACCGAAACATGATAGCCAGATCAAAATGGAATTGATAGAATCTGCAAAACATAGCATTTACAACATACCTCTAACAATCTCCCACTTATGCTTTATAAGCTCATGGCTAAACAAAATAACCACAATTTCTTTCAATCTAATTCTCAAAGACTAGTCTACTATGTCGCCCTAACATTTGACTCTTATTTCTTCTACGTGTCTTGTAAAGACTTTCGCTAGGTTCTACGTGCCCTAACATTAGGCTCTTCATAAAAGGATTTGCTAGGTTGTCCTCTGATTGTATCATGGCAACAACGACTTCTCCTCATCCAACGATTTCTCGTATCAGGTGGTACTTGCGATCTATGTGTTTACTCGCTTTATGAGTCTGTGGGTCCTTTGAATTTGCTACTGCTCTGCTGTTATCACAAAACACTGTGATTGCAGCGGGCAAACTCGGTACCACATCAAGGTCGAGGAGAAAATTCCTGAGCCAGACAGCTTCTTTCGCTGCCTCTGAGGCTGCTACATACTCAGCCTCCATGGTTGAGTCCGCCACGCATTTCTGCTTGACACTCCTCCATACTATGGCTCCTCCTCCTAAAGTAAACACAAACCCTGAGGTTGACTTGCTTTTGTCCCGATCTGCTTGGAAATCAGAATCGATGTAACCCAACGGAAGCATTTCATCTGCCTGGTAAATCAACATGTGTACTTGAGTATATGCTTTACCGCAGACCAATGTTCCGGTCCTGGATTTTTTTGATATCTTGCTACCATGCCCACGGCATAACAAATATCAGGTCGCGTGCACAACATAGCATACATGAGGCTTCCTATTGTCGATGCATAAGGAATTGCCTTCATGTCCTCTACCTCATGAGGCGTCTTTGGGGACATCCTCTTAGATAGAGGTATTCCGTGCCGAAACGGTAAATCCCCTTTCTTGGAATCCTGCATGTTGAAACACTTTAGGACAGTGTCTTTGTATGTGGATTGGGTTAAGCACAACATTCTCTTCTCTCGGTCGCGAATGACGTCGATTCCGAGAACATGTCCTACTTCTCCCAAATCCTTCATATCAAACTGCTTGAATAACCGTACCTTGACGTCTGATAACATTTTTACATTGTTTCCAATGCGAACAATATCATTCACGTACAACACTAGAAACACCACCACGTTTCCATCACTTTTCTTGTACACATAGTGCTCATCCTGCCATTGGGTAAATCCATATGATTGAACAACCTCGTCAAAACGGATGTACCAAGACCTCGAAGCCTACTTCAGCCCATAAATGGACCTCTTCAGCTTGCAGACCAGATGCTCTTGGCCCTTTGCAATGAATCCTTCTGGTTGCTGCATATAGATGTCCTCGTCCAAATTCCCGTTAAGGAAAGCGGTCATGACATCCATTTGTCAAATCTCATAATCCATATGAGCGGCCACAACCAAGAGAATCCTGATGGATTTGAGCATGGCTACCGGAGAAAACGTTTCTTCATAATCGATCCCTTCTTTCTGAGTGTACCCTTTTGCAACAAGCCTAGCTTTGAAGGTTTCAACCTTCCCATCTGCTCCACTCTTTCTCTTATAAACCCACTTGCATCCAATGGCGCAGACGCCACTGGGTGGCTCTACAAGATTCCAGACCTGATTAGAGTCCACTGACCCTATTTTAGACTTCATCGCCTTTTGCCAAGAATCTGCGTCCTGATCTTGGAGTGCCTCATTGTATGTCCATGGGTCGGATTCAAGAACGTCCGGGACGGTCTCAGAAGACTCTCCCAGACCCATGAACCATTCGGGCTGCCGGACAACCCTCCCACTACGACGAGGTACTACCTGCTCAGGTGCATCATCAGCGATACGTGTTGCAGTACTTTGTGGTGTAACATCTAGCGCACTCGGTATTGAAGTAATCACTCCCTTTAACTCCTAGAGGACATGTATACTACTGAGATTATGATCTAAGACATAGTCTCTTCCAAGAACCTAGCATTCGTGCTAACGATTACTTTCTGGTCCTCGGGACTATAAAATAAACCACCTTTCGTTTCCTTAGGATATCCCACAAACAGCCTTACTTCTGTTCTCGGTTCCAACTTATTAGTATCGGTTCTCAGCACGTGTGCTGGACTACCCCAAATCCTGAGATGCCTTAGACTAGGCTTATGCCCAGACCACAACTCCAATGGTGTAGACGGTACTAATTTAGAAGGTACTCTATTCAGAATGTGTACTGTTGTTTCTAGGGTATATCCCCAAAACGAATCTCGTAAAGTACTATAACTCGTCATTGCCCTAACCATTTCCATAAGAGTCATGTTCCTCCATTCTGCTATGCCATTCTGCTGAGGCGTGCCAGGCGCAGTCTGCTGGGACGTAATCCCATTAACAGTCAAGTAGCTCCTAAATTCATTTGAGAGATATTCGCCACCACGATCTGATCGTAATGACTTGATACTTTTTCCTAACTGCTTCTCACAATTGCCTTATACTCTAAAAACTTCCCAAATCATTCAGACTTGCGGTGCAGAAGAAAAATGTACCCATATCTCGAGTAATCATCGATAAACGTAATGAAGTACTCGAAACCACCTCTCGCTTGAACACTCATAGGACCACATAGATCGAACTGAACTAGCCCTAACACATCTTCGGCTTTATGCCCCTTTGAACTAAAAACCCTCTTAGTCATTTTGCCTTCCAGGCAAGACTCACAAGTTGAAAAAGCCTCGACTTCTAACGACCCCAAGGGCCCGTCTGCTACCAAGCTTTGAATCCTACCAAGGTTAATATGACCAAGTCTTAGATGCCAAAGATATGTTTCGTTCATTTTAGAAGGTTCCTTCCTCTTATTTAGATTAGATGATGAATTAAGTAATTCTTTATGTTGCAGTGGAGATGACTTAGATTCTAGAATGTATAGATGATCAACTAATGAATCAGATCATATGAACTTTTTGCCAAAACGAATAGCAACTTTTGTAACACCCCGCTTTTCCATAAATATCAGAGTGCGTTTTTCGCAAATTATTTTCTTAATAAAACATATTCATTTGCGAAATCCTTTTCGGGATGCTACTAAAAACCATTCATTACTTTGAAAATCCGTTATCTTTAATAAACAATTAATAATTTGACAATTAGACATTTAATTTAATAATAATTATAAACAATTAAGACAATTAGATAGATAATATAAATAATATCAAAATAATAATAAAAATGCAATAATAAATAATCCCAAATAATTCATAAACAAACGGGGCGTTACACTTCCAGTGTACTGTAATTCAGGCATGGCATCCTTCTCTTCTTGCGACATTCGTCCTCAAATCGAAAGCTTCAGTTTGTCATTACAGCGTCGTCTGTTGTTGTTGATTAGTCTTGCTTCATCACGAACGAAAGATGTGTCGAACATCGACACGCTGTACCTGCAACTGTTTACTTTCCGTGAGGCCAAAACTTAACCTCAAGAAAAGTCTATCATGAACTAATCCTTCCTACGATTTCTCAAATTTTAGAATTTGAGAATCGCGGCATTGGATATACTTGAAATGACTGATAAGTCTTGTCTTATTAGACATACCATCCTCAACGTTGACATGACTAGACTTAACATTCTCATAACTGAATAGCCCTTACTTGACTTTAACATGACTTGATAACTTTTACTTGAACTTTGAAAATAATCCCGAGACACTCAAATGGTTGTCTCGGAACTGGAACATGGCATTTACTGACTTACTGTAGCTTGATAAGGTACGACTTCAAGTTTCCAGGTCAATTTGGATTACTGATTTGTATATCAGACCTCCATATTTAACCCGGCTTAATAACTATTATACGTCGACCTTAAACTCATGAACATGGATTCATGACTATGTACTATATAGGCTGCTCCAGTATCAACTGGTCCCGCAAGTACTATACTCATAACTCATCTTAAGCTTTGCCCACTATAAACTCAGAGTATCAAACTGGTAAGATACCCGACTTACTGACTCTAAAGGTTGTTACTTCCTTAAATTGTACTGCTCTAGTCCTACCTTCAAGTCTCCATGGTATACCCGGCTAAGTGGCTCTTATTTCAAGCCTCCATGGTAACCCGGAATATTGACTCTTATACACTGGAAACCGTTACTTCTGATATTATTTTGAAATTCAACAACCTATGGCGTCAGAATTTAAACTCTGAACTAGGTCTTACTGGTCTAACTTTGAAAATTTGAGTCTGTTCCCTTATCTAAGTAAAGGAATTTCTTGCTGGAATATGCCAAGTGAATGGCAAAATGACAATTTCTGGTAGGAAACTGTTTGGGAAACATGTCTGATAAGATTTGTATTACTTAATGGCTCACAAATCCCTTGACAAGTCGCTAAAATCAACCCGAGAAACTAGAGTCAAATTATCGAATAACTGGAATAAATCGACTACATCTTGAAAAATACTCTGTTACTGTCTCGAGCATCGGTACTAATTTCTAGGGTTACATCTCTGACACCCTACTGAGCATAGACTTAGACATTTTTTTAGATATATAAACTGTAAATCAGCACTTACCTGTTAGTCGGCGAGGCGTGGTCGGGTTTTCTAAAAACTTTCTGACTCACTGAAGTATTCAGATACACAAAAACGTGCTCTGATACCATTTGTAACACCCCGCTTTTCCATAAATATCAGAGTGCATTTTTCGCAAATTCTTTTCTTAATAAAACATATTCATTTGCGAAATCTTTTTCGGGATGCTACTAAAAACCATTCATTGCTTTAAAAATCCGTTATCTTTATTTAAATTTAACTTTGAAGAATAAACGGATTATTTTAGATTAACTAGCATGTAATACTTTATAAAAATTTGTCTCATAAATCAGTTCAAAAATAAAAAACTGACATGCTAGCTAAAATATCGTAAAGTGACAGCGGAAATCAAACGTGGCAAATCATAACCGTACAATAATGTACAATGGCTGCTAGCCATATCTGTGACCACGATCCACTAACCAACTCACTCCTTTGGTTCGACCCTGTACCTGAAAAACATAGAAATCGTGGGGCGTGAGCACTAAAAGCCACTGTGCTCCGCAGAAACTCATACTAAAGTAAACATTAATAATGACAATATCATGGCTGCAGGTATGTATAAGTGAACTATAATCTCCAGACACAAGGTCTGTAACTGAGCTGAGCTGTCTCGGACACTATGTCCGCCATGTGCACACTCTGATGGATACTTAAGGCCTTGCGCCTCCACCAGAACTTTGG